TTGTAGATTTTGTGTTTGCTGGGTCTTTATGTTTTTCTACTTTTTTATTTTGATTTGTAGGATTGTTAGATTCCTTTGTGGTTACCTTAATATTTATCCCTATTTTTCTAAGTTCATACCAGTCTTTTATTACTTTATATCACCTTAACTTCTTCTCCATATAGAAAATCAGTGTCTCCATTTTTTAAGTCCCTCTTTTTTTGTTTTAATATTATCCGTTTTTACATATTGATATCTGTTTCCCTATTTTCAGTGTTTTAGCTTTGATGTATTTTCGATTTCTGTATCTGAGTCAATATCTGGTTGCTCTGTCCTGCGTTCTAGTCTTGCATTGTTAGCTGGTGTTATTGATTATCTAACCGTAGGACTCCCTTTAGTATTTGTTGTAATTTTGGTTTGGTTTTTGCAAATTCCCTGAACTTCTGTTTATCTGGAAATGCCTTAATTTCACCATCATATTTGAGAGACAGTTTTGCTGATATATAATTCTTGGCTGACCGTTATTTTCCTTCAAGGCTTTAAATATGTCATCCCATTGCCTTCTAGCCTGCATGGTTTCTGCTGAGTAGTCCGAGCTTATTCTAATTGACTCTCCTTTGTGGATGACTTTTTTTTTATCCCTAGCTGCTCTTAAAATTCTCTCTTTATATTTGGTTTTGGTAAGTTTGATTATAAGATGTCTTGGTGACTTTCTTTTGGGATCTACCTTATGTGGGGTTTGATGAGCATCTTGGATAGATATGTTCTCATCCTTCATGATATCAGGGAAGTTTTCTGTCAACAAATCTTCAACAATTTTCTCTGTATTTTCTGTTATCCCCCCCCGTTCTGGTACTTCAGTCACTCATAGGTTATTTCTCTTGATAGAGTCCCACATGACTCTTAGAGTTTCTTCATTCTTTTTAATTCTTTTATCTGATTTTTCCCCAAATAAGTTGGCGTCAAGAGTTTTATCTTTAGTGTCACTAATTCTAACTTCTACTGCCTCAGTTCTGCTCCTGTGGCTTTCTATTTAGTTGTCTAATTCTGAAATTTTATTGTTAATCTTCTGGATTTCTGATTGCTGTCTCTCTATGGATTTTTGCAGCCTATTAAATTTGTCATTATGTTTTCAATAACTTTTTTAAGTTCTGCTACTACTGTGTCTGTAAGTTGCCTGGCTGTTTCTGCATTCTGTAGAATTTCCTTTCTTATTTCTATAAGAGTTCTGTATGTTAATCTATCGTATTCTGCCTCTGGTAATTCCAAGAAGTTCTCTTCCTCCAGAGAAGTTATTGATTCTTTATTTTGGGGGCTTGATGAAGCCATCATGGACTGCCTCTTTATGTGACTTGATATTGACTGTTGTCCCCAAGCCATCAATAATTTATTATATTTTTATTTTGTATTTGCTTAGTGAGACCTAGCTTCTTATTTTGTTTTGTTTTGATATGCCCAAATAGGCTGCTCGTGTACACTAGTTTGATTTTTGACATCTTTGGATCTCTAATGTCCTGTCACCAGGGAGTTAGTTCTGTAACTATGTGCACACAAGAGTCTGTTAACTTTTCCTTTATGTGTTCAGCTCGGGTGTTCAGGCAGTCGGTCAACAAGTGTGTGATGCAGGCTCTCATCCCCAGTCCTAGAGAGGCATGGGTGATTGGTGCAGGCACTGGACTCTGGCTGTGGTAGAGGATCACGTGCTGAGCCAGGCAGGGGGCTGACGGCTGCCCCTGAGAGTCTGAAAGGAAAGCATGTCCCTGTTCTCTAGGGTGAGTAGGTAGGTGAGTTTTGCAGCCAGACTATGAGCATCCCACTCTGTTGGCTGTAAAGACTCGAGGGCACCACTTTTTCTTGGACTTCTGTAGCAGGTAACCAGACACTTTAGGTGCTACCACCAGCCTTCAAGCCCCTGCTGCAGATTGATAAAAGTGCCTCCTTAAGGGGCAGGGCTGTTTCGAGGGTCACAAATCTGCCAGTTCACAGCTGAAGCAGTTGAAGTTAAACTTAAGATGTTCGCCCTGTTGTACTGTGGCAGTGAGGACTAACGCTGTTGAGATGGGTCCCCACAAGTCTATACAGGGGTGTAAGGCACTCTGAGTCTGCGGACCCCTGATGCCTGTGCCCAGCAAAGGAGCTGTGCCGGCCCTGTGTTCCTGGCCTAGGGGAGCCAGCAGCTTATCTGTTCCCTCTCCAAGGCCAGGAGAATGGGTCAGGGCGCCTTTGGGGATCTCCTTCTGGCCCAGCAGACTCCCGGTGCAGAGAGCGGAGGGAGGTGGTAAAAGGGAGAGAGGTTTTTCCCAAATGGGCTTTTTTTTTTTTATCCCCGCGAAAGGGTGCACGCGTGTACTTATCTTAGCCTCCTGGGAGCTGCTCTTCACTTATTCGGAGTGTCCAAGCAGAATCTCTGCTGCTGGGTCTCTCTCGATGTGGAAACTGCTTCCCGAGCGTGCGCACAGCACAGCTGTTTGCCTGCTTCACCGCGGACTGGCGTGGCGGCCACGCTGCAGTTTTGCCACCACGGCTGTGGCCCTCCTCACCTCTTCAGAACGGTCTCCCTCTCCCGTAGCACTCAGATGGATTTCTCAACCTTGCCTTCTTCAGGGCTCCCAGATATTCACATAGAATCAAATCACTAGTTTTTCCAGGTCTTTGTTGTAAGAGGGTTATAGGAAGTGTCTAACTACTCGGTCATGTTAACCACGGCTCCTCCATGTGTGTTCTTTATTCCACACCTTTGCTCAGGCAGTTTTTCGGAAGGCTTTTCGGAAAGCCTTCTCACTTTTCTGGGATAATACTCTTGGTGATTTCTGCCATTTACCGGCTTTGCAGCACTCAACCTTTCCTCTCACAAGCCATGCTACTGTGTGTTGCCATCTGTTCTTAAACTAAGGAAATATTTCCTCAGAACATGTAGGCCTAGGGAACAGGTTAGCCTATTTATTTAAAACTCACCATAATCAGTGCATGCTTGCTGGTCCCTCCTGGTTGGCTCGTGTTTTCTGTTTGAACTCTTAAGGATTATATTGTTTATGAAGCTAAGTGTTTTCCAGAAAGTAAAGTTCTAAGCCAGAACAGTCCTAGTGAAACTAGGTTATTCTAGCACCTATATTTGTCTGTTGTTGTTGTGTGCCATGAAGTCGATTCCAGCTCATAATGATCCTGTATGACAGTAGAACTGCCCAGTAGGGTTTCCTAGGCTGCAGTTCTCCAGGTCTTTTGTCCCACAGAGCTCGCTGCTAGTGGGTTCGAACTACTGACCTTTTGGTTAGCAGCCAAGCACTTAACCATTGCACCACAAGGGTTCTTTAATGTGTCTGGCAGATTATATATGCAACATATATAGTAATGTTAATTACATGTGCAGTATTTTGAGCATCTTGGTTTACATTTTAACTCTTCCTAAGTCCAAAATGTTAATTGATCTTTTGACCTCTGGGTATTTGTGGTGATTTCCTTGAACCTTAAAATCTCTATATCGTGGAAAACTAGATACATATTTAAATATTTTTGGTACAGTATTTGCTTAAATAGCATGAATGAAGGTTGAAACAACAGGAAATCTAGTTTATATTTTGCAGAATGTAAACTTACATATTGTCTGTAATGATGGCTTTACCCTTTGCTTCCTTCTCGTGTATTTTGCAGGTCCTTGCCTTATGCTATTCGACCAGATTTAGCAGAAGTCTGTTTATTTACCAAGGATGAACCCAATTTAACTCCTGAGAAGACAGAGCACTTCTATAGGAATCTTTTGAACAAGCATAATATTAAAACTGTTTCTCAGGTAAGGAGCAGGTTACTATTTTCAAGATGAGCAGTTAATTCAATTAAAGTGATAAATAATACTTTATTGTATTTCTTATTTTTCTTCCTCCTTTCAATTTAACTTTTAATGAAATAAGTAGGGTGTATTCCATCTTTGCTGTGCTGGAGAATCTGTCAAGGTTGGTTGACCTGAAAGCTAAGTGTACAATCAGTAACTGATCTGTCTTGTAGATTATACAAAGGTTGCTCTGTCATGTCATCCCCTGTACTTCCAGAGCACCCTGTGGTTGCCTCTGACTTAGCACTTATCACCCTGTTTTGTAGCTGTTGGGGGAGCCCTTGTGGCACAGTGGTTAGGCACCTAGCTGGCTGATAACCTAAAGGTCAGCAGCTCAAACAGCCACTCCTTGAGTGAAGGATGTGGCAGTCTGCTTCCGTAAAGATTACAGCATTGGAAACGCTATGGGGCATTTCTACTCTGTCCTGTAGTGTTGCTGTGAGTCAGAACTGACTTGACAGCAATGGATTTGGTTTTTGATTTTGTGGTTGTTAAGTTTACTTGTCTTCATTACTGGCCAGATCAAAGTTTCTTTAACTGGGGACCCATCTTCTCTGTCTCAGTTTCCCCAGTGTTTAGCATAGTGCTTGGCACATTTTAGGCACTCATGTGTTTACTAAGCTGTGATCAGCATGGTTCTAAACCAAAAATACTAAACCAGTTGGCCATCGAGGCGATTCTGACTCATGGCAACCCCAGATGCTGCAGAGTAGAACTGTACTCTGTAGGGTTTTCAAAGCTGTGATCTTTTGGAAGCAGATAGCCAGGCCTTTGTTCCAAGGCATCTCGAGTGCCAACCCTCCGGTAGTAGCCGAGCACTTACCTGTTTGTGCCACCACAGAACTCCAGGCATTGCTTGTATGGCTCTCAGATCTGAGTAGGGTGGAATGCAAATCGTTGCCTGAATATTTCTTCTTGTTCAGGTTCCTAACTTTTTCTGATTTTACTCCTGCTTATATTTTCTAGATTATCCCTCTTCGAACTTTAAAAAAGGAGTATAAGCCCTATGAAGCCAAGCTCCGCCTCTTGGGTAGTTTTGACTTCTTCCTTACCGATGCAAGAATTAGGAGGCTTTTACCCTCAATTATAGGGAAACATTTCTATCTCAGAAAGAAGTAAGTTTCTTTGCCATGACCAGACTTCAGCAAAATGAAATTAATTGGTGTGTGTCCATTGTTTTCTGAATGCCTATGTGTTTTTATAGAGTCCCAGTATGTGTAAACCTCCTGGCCAAGGATTTATCAAAAGAGATAAATGACTGTATTGGTGGAACTATCATGAACATCTCTAAAAATGGTTCTTGCAGGTAGGCAAAAGGCATTACTGTGTGCCTATATTTAATCTGGTTTATTTAATATTCGTTTAAATAGCCACATGTGGCTTCTGCTTACTCTATTGGTTGGGGCAGTTCTAGTTATTAAGGAAACAAAGGGAATTCGCTAAGATAAATGCTTAGGGAACATTAGTGGGTCAGGATTTTCATGTCAGCCAGTATCTTATTAGTTTATTGGGCTGGGTGGTGGGTTAAGTTTGAGAGCTTGGCAGTTTACCAGCTTTTTTGGAGTGGGGACATGACCAGTTTTAAACATTTAAAATGTAATGTGTGAAATATTTAATCTGCTGGCTTGGACATCTTGCCTGGGGGTGGGCACCTGCCAGTAAAGCCCTCCTATGCCTTTCCACCCTAAGGCAAAGGGCCTGGCTGTACCCAGTGGTAACACACATCAGAAAACACCCAAAGAGTTCGTGACTGCCCGTCAGGGAGGCCAGCCCAACCATGGAGCGCAGAGCAGGGTAGATAGCCAGGCAGGACAGGTGGACTCTGGTATTGTCTTCTGCCTGCAGGTGGAAAGCCTCTGGAATTACATATAGTTGAGTAGCTAAGAAGAGAGATTACCAGGCCTAGGCCCTCCACCCCTGTGGTTTATAGGCTGGCATCAGTGGTGGCTCATGGCACATGGTTAGCTAGGTCGGGGCTTAGCTTGTGGAGTGAGTAGCTAGGAGAAAGGGGCCAGTACATTGAAGGCAGATAAAGGGGCAGGAGTTTCCTACCCCAAGTTTTCCCAAGTCAAAATCCACAGCTTAAGGAAAGTTGTGGACAACTACCCAAAAAAGAAGAAAAAAAAAAACCACAAACCTTAGACTATTCTTTCATCTCCCCAACACAGTACTTTTCCCTTCTTTCTTTCATTTGTCCCTCTGTCTTTTCGCTGGAAAGCCAAGGATATGCTTGCAGGCTGGGGTGAAGGGCACACAGAACCCTGTTTTTTGGCTAAAGGGAGCTGGGAGCACCAGTCCCTGCCTCATCCTCATTCTGCAGACACCCTACCATGGGGCGTGGCAGGGACAGGCTTCTCAGTAGCTGAGCTATACACATTTCTGGATTTCTCACTTAACTTACATCTCTGCTTCATCCAAAGGGATCATCTTGCTTTTAGCCAAAAGACACTGTTACATGAGAGATGAGGACTATTATTTTTGGACGGAGCAGCTTAGTTGAGGCAGTAGAGCTCTAAAGATAGCAGGCAGCTCTCCCCTTGCCATTCCTGGAGTTAATTCCTCTCGGCCAGTTTGAGTGCTGACTCAGTGGCATGTGGCATTTGCTGGATTAAGGTGGAGCTGTATTTTGCCCTGCCCACTGACCCTCAAGTATTTAGAACCTAAAAGCATTGGTGAAAAACAAGGCTCCAGGAATTGACGGGATACCAATTGAGATGCTTCAACAAATGGATGCTATGCTGGAAGTGCTGTATGCCAAAAAATTCGGGAGACAGCTACCTGGCCAACCAACTGGACGAAATCCATAATCATGCCCATTCCAAAGAAAGATGATCCAGTGAAATGTGGAAATTATTGAACAATATCATTAATATCACGTGTAAGTAAAATCTTGCTGAAGATAGATAGTCTAAAAACAGCTGTAGCTGTACATTGACAGGGAACTGCCAGAAGTTCAAGCCGGATTGAGAAGAGGACATGGCATGAGTGATATTGCTCATATCAGCTGGATCCTGGCTGAAAGCAGAGAATGCCAGAAAGATATTTACCTGTGTTTTATTGACTATGCAAAGGCATTCAACTGTGTGGATCATAACAAATTACGGATAACATTGTGAAGAATGGGAATTCCAGAACACTTAATTGTGCTCATGAGGAACCTGTACGTAGACCAAGATGCAGTCATTTGAACAGAACAAGGGGATGCTGCATGGTTTAAAATCAGGAAAGGTATTTGTACGGTTGTATCCTTTCACCATCTGTATTCAGTCTGTATGCTGAGCGAATAATCTGGACTATAGGAAGAAGAATGCGGCATCTGGATTGGTGGAGGAAGGCTCATTAACAACCTGCGATACGCAGATAACACAACCTTGCTTGCCAAAAGCAAAGAGGACTTGATGCACTTACTAATGAAGATCAAAGACTACAGCCTTCAGTATGGATTACATCTCAACATAAAACAAAAATCCTCACAACTGGACCAATAAGCAACATTATGATAAACGGACAAAATATTAAAGTTGTCAAGGATTACATTTTACTTGAATCCACAATCAGCGTCCATGGAAGCAGCAGTCAAGAAATCAAATGACGTATTGCGTCACGCACATCTGCTGCAAAGTGTTCAGAAGCAAAGATGTCACTTTGAGGACTAAGGTGCACCTGACCCAAGCCATAGTATTTTCAGTTGCCTCATACGTATGCAAAAGCTGCACAGTGAATAAGACAGACCAAAGAAGAATTGATGCCTTTGACTTATGGTGTTGGTGAAGGATATTGAATATATCATCGACTGCCAGAAGAACGAACAAATCTGTCTTGAAAGAAGTACAGCCAAAATGCTCCTTAGAAGTGAGGATGGTGAGACTTCGTCTCATATACTTGACATGTTATCAGGAGGGACAAGTACCTGGAGAAGGACATCATGTTTGGTAAAGTAGAGGGTCAACAAAAAAGAAGAAGACCCTCAACAAGATGGATTGACAGAGTGGCTGCGGCTGTGGACTCAAGCACAACAACGATTGTGAGGATGGCGCAGGACCGGGCGTGTTTTATTCTCTTGGACATAGGGTCGTTAGGAATCAGGACCGACTCAATGGCACCTAACAACAACAACAACCTTTTTAGAAAAAAACTTGAGGATTGTGTAATTTGTATTTCCCACGTACCTATGCTTTATTTTGAAAAGCAGATTGCTTTTTAAAATGTTGTTTAATGCTTTCTTAAATTTCAGCACTATACGCGTTGGTCACACTGGAATGATGGTCCAGCACATCATTGAAAATGTCATTGCTGTCACAAAGGGCCTTTCAGAAAAATTGCCAGAGGTATGTAGTCTTGCTGGTTTATCAACTGATGGTGTAAAACAAGCAAAATATGTATAAATTGTACCATTTTCTGTGTTTCAGAAGTGGGAGAGTGTGAAACTCTTATACCTGAAAACTGAGAAGTCGGTTGCCCTTCCAATCTTCTCTTCCTTCGTCAGTAGTTTTTATGAAGGGAAAGGAGGACCCCTTACTGGCCAGAAGAAAAAAGTTAGTAGAGTTTAAAAAACTGGATAGTATTTGTGTGAATACGATACGTTAAGATGTAAATCTCCTACCTTTATTAATAAGTTAAAGTCATAAAAGGATTAATTAAAGGGGCCCTGTGCATTGGCAAGAGAAGGTGGAAAGCCAGAGTCTACCTTATTAAGTACTTTGTGACTTAGAGGCAGAATTTAAGGTTCTTTTAGGCTAACGAGGAGTCCTGGTGGCAGAGTGATTAAGCACTTGGCTGCTAACTGAAAGGTTGGCAGTTTGAACCCACTAGCCGCTCCGTGGGAGGAAGATGTGGCAGTCTCCTTCTGTAAAGATTACAGCCTTGGAAACCCTATGGGGCGGTTCTAGTCTGTCCTATAGGGTCACTAAGAGTCAGAATCGACTCAATGGCAGTAGATTTTGGTTTTATTAAGCTGACAGGTTCCTGAGTGGCACAGTTTGTGTTCACCTACTAACCTAAAGGTTGGCAGTTTGAACCCACCTAGTGGCACCACGGAAGCAAGGCCTGGTGAACTGCTTCAGTAAAAAATCACAGCCCAGGAAACCCTTTGGAACAGTTCTGCGCTGTAGCATATGGGGTCGCCATGAGTTGGAATCAACTGGACAGAATAGGTTTTTTTGTTTGTTTTTTAAGTCTAACAGACACCTCTTGATTTTGATGTTGTTTGTAGGTTATCAGTGCCACTGGTACTAGTACAAAAGAGAACAGAATGAGAGAAAATTTCGTCCAGATCATTTTTTGCTGTTTGTTAGACTTATCTCCTAGTTCATTGATTTCTCTCTTCAGCCATTTTAATTGTGTCCAGTGAGTTTTTAATTTTGGTCTTCTTATTTTTTACTTGTAGAAGTTATATGTTTTGTTGTTTTTCAAATCTGCTTTGTCACTTTTTTTTTTTTTTTTTTTTGGACCCTGTTATCTGTAAATAATCTTCCAGTTTGTCTTAATCCTTTACATATGTTAAGCACAGTAGTTTTATAAATGTCTGATTATTCCAACAGAAGTCTTGGTGTTGCAGCTAAAACCTGCTGCTGTCGAGTTGATTCCAACTCATAGTGACCCTATAGGACAGAGTAGTACTGCTCCGTAGGGTTTCCAAGGCTGTAAATCTTTATCGATGCAGACTGCCACATCTTTCTCCCATGGAGCAGCTGGTGGGTTTGAACCACCAACCTTTCAGTTAGCAGCTGAATGTTCTAACCACTGTGCCACCAGGGATCCTTAGTGTTGCACCTGGTTATCTGTATCTGCTGGTTCCTTGTGTGCTTGGTGATCTTTGTGCGATGGTCATTGTGTCTGAGAATTATTTGTGGAAATAATTTGAGTCATAGGATGAAGATACCTTCCTCCAGAGGGATTTTATTTACTTCTGCCAGGCACCGAGGGGCACTCTGCCTGGAACCTCCTTAAAGCACATCAAGGATTGAGGTCCCTGAATGACTCAAATAGACCAAACCGTGACTGTAAATCTGCCTGGGCTCCTCTTGTGGTTCATCTCTACCTGAGAGTATAGCTCATTGAGGTCCCAGCTCATTGTGAGGAGGAGGGTCTCTGCTTAGATTCCCCACCCGATCTGGACTATGGGGTTGAATGCTCTCCACTTCACTCCCATGTCCCACATGGCTGTTAAAACAAAAGTTAGGGATTAGCAAATACTCTCAGGGCAGAATGACTTCTGTGCTCACTTATCTCTCTGGGTTCTCATTTTAATCAGCTCATCCATGCTTTTAAGAAAAAGCATTCTTACAGAAAATTTTACCCTGTTTTTTAACTTGTTTTCATTAGGAGGATAGTCCAAAATTACTGGGAGCAGGAAGTCTGGATTTTTGCCATTTGTCAGCAGATTCAGTTGAGGTTTTTGTGAAAATGTTGAAATTTTTGGTGAAAATGGAATTTGGATAGTAGTATAAATTTCATGAAACTTAACTCTGATAAGGATAATAGACCTTGAGCTATGAAAACGTTTCACTTTTAGTTTTCAACCACAATCTGAAGTAGAAAAAAAAATGATCAGGTTCTTCTCTTTTTAAAAAAAAAAAAAAACCTGGTAACAGGTTTATTGAAATAAAATTCACCTACCATACAATTCAGAACTGCTTTTAACTTACCTATATATGAGGTTGACTTTTATGAAATCTGTAACCACATATTTCAGATACTCGGAGTCTGAAATATCTGTCTTTAATTTACCCCCCAGGAGTCCAGTGCTGGTAATAGGGTTTGTTCATGCAGAGTTTGTATGTGCCAAGGCCCTTTTTGAGGAAGCTTATGAATAATGAGAACTGCAAGTGCTAAATCTCTGCCGTTTGCAATGCCAGTGGTCTTTGAATTTGATTTATAGAATAAAGGCTGGAGAGCCCTGTTAATGGCATTCATAGAGTGCTGATTTTCCTTTTGGAATTAGTTTACCATCAAAAGTAGCCCCTGCTAAAATATGGTTAGTTGGGTTGTTTTTGTTTTTGATAGGAGGCAAAGAAGAAACAAAAAGAAAAGCTCCAAAAAAAGAAGGAGAAGAAAAGGAGAAAAAGGGAAATGCAACAGGCTGCAAAGACCAAAAAGACTAAATTAGCCCAAACTAAAGATAAAGTGGCAGCTGAAGTCAGTGGTGCTCCAGCAAAGAGCCCCGGACCCCAGAAGGGAGAGACTCTGGGAGAGAAGGAGGAGATCCACAGAGGAAAAGCCCAGCGTAAAGTGGGAGACGGATCCGAGGATGAAATTCCACTACTTGTGCCAATGGAAGAAACACCTGCTAAGAAAAAAAAGGTAGAGGTATTTTTATTAATGTTTAGTATTCATAACGGATTGACATGGTGCTGTGTGTCCAGCAGGCACTGTTCTGAGTGAGGAATGTAAGAAATGTTACACAGGTGGGAAGTATTCGTTGTAGAAATCTATTTAAGTGACACCTGTTCTACCGAAGATTTTCAAGTAATAGATGAAAAATACTAGGGTAAACCCCAAGAACCGTGAAGATGGTTACCGTGACTTACTTTACCCCTATTTTAGATATGAAAATTCTCCGTTTATGGAGTGATGTCTAATAACACAACCTTTTATGTATTTTGGGGTCAAGAGAGACTTGACTGTATTTATATTTCTGAAAAACATTGCTTATGGTTTTATAAAGTAAGCCAGGGTGGAAATTTAGTTAAACGGTTCTGTTCCTGAAAGTGAGTCGTGGATCAGCACATCATGGCCTCAGAGAACTTGTTGGGCAAGCTTGGGTACTGGATCGTCCTTCCAGAGACATGGTTCTTACAGATGGCTGACTTCACGGGTTTCTGAGTTCCTTTAAAGAAACTGAGTTTTTTATATTGTTTGGTTCTTTGATAATGTTTTTGTTGTAGTATCCATCAACTACTGGAGGAGGATCTCTTGAAACTAAGAGGGGGAAATAGGTCCCTAAGAGACTAGAGGGTCACACTCGTCATGTGTTCAGAGAAGACTCATTGACCCCTCTAGACAGAGTCTGTCCCCAGTGCTCAAGTGTGGTCCTCAACAAGTGGGTAACATTTGCACTATACTAGTCTGTATGATCTAATTCATGGTGACAGTAACCTTTAAAATCTTTAACAGTATTATACTTTTCATATACTAGTGAAAGTCTTTTTTTAAAGCCCTCCAAAATGTTACTGTCTTTTTCTAATATACTTGAAATTAACCCAAATGAGCAATATATTAATTATAAGCTATATATATAATTGTTTTTAGAAAAAATAAGCTGTTTTTATTATAATGGGACCAGTGAGTAATGTGTTAGAAATTAAAGGGTGAAAAAAGCATAGCTGACAGACATGCATCGAGAACCTTGGACATGTTGACACCCTTTGAACCCATCTAGGAAATAGGATCAGGGTAATAGTATACAAGTCTCATCATTGTTCACAATAGAAGCAAAAATTAGGAAATATCATGTATCCTTGCAGTGCTTTTGGTAAAGTTATTAGAAATAATATTTAGTGAGAGTTTATAGTGCTTAGAAATGCATATGAAATAATTGGAGAAAGGGCATACTATTCAAGCCATTTAGTCTTTGTTTTGGCTGGGTGGTTTTTGTCTTTGTAAGGTTCTTCTATGCTGGACAGAGTCCACTGTCAGAATCTTGTCCCTGGACCATCAGTAGCAGTCACCTGGGGTGCTGGGAAAACCCAGTATTCCTGGCATGTAGCACACTCCCCTTGAAGGGTCTCTGTATCTGACTTTGGGAAATGGATTTTCTAACAGGCACCCCAGTTGGTTTTAAACAGTTTGAGAACTCCCTGCCCTAGATAAATCACATGCAAGGAATTTACAGTTTAATGTAAAAAAGAGCCAGAATTAGATCACAGGTCTCCACGCTGTGCTTTCAATGGTTGCTTCCAGGAGTCCTTATCCTCAACCACAAAAAAACCCATTGCCATCAAGTTGATTCTGACTCATAGTGTAATCTGCCCCAGTAGAACTGCCCCATAGAGTTTCCAAGGCTGTAATCTCTACTGAAGCAGACTGCCTCGTCTTTCTTCTGTGGAGCGGCTGGTGAGTTCGAACCACCAACCTTTTGCTTAGTAGCTGAACACTTAACCATTGTGCCACCAGGGCTCTTTCAAACCACAGGAGTGGTGGTTTTCGTTTGATTGGGCCAGTGCAACTGGGATCCTTTATATAATCGTTAATGGTGAAATTCACATACTTTTCAAAATATCTGTGAAGCAGAAGGAAAAGCCACTCCTCATTTCATCACACTGAGGTGTCCCTTTTGGGGGTTACATGTTAAAACAAAAACAGTAACTCCTAGAGTTACATTGTCAATTTTTTTTTTTTTTTCGGAGACTTAAGAACTTTCTTCTTTTCCTTAGATGCAAAAAGGTGCCACAATAAAGAAGTCTCCAAGTAAGAGTCCTGGTCCTGGCACACCTGTTGGGAAGAAGAGAAAGGCCTCCTCAGCGCTGGAAACTACTAAAGTTTCAGAGCCAGGGACCCCAGGTAAAGGCCTAGGGAAGAAGCCAAGAATCAAAGAAGAGGCAGAGAAAGAACGAAACGCTGCACCAGGGAAAAAAGACCCGAGACAGACTCCAAAGAAGCCCGGGCCCAAGTTCTTCGCCACTTCTAGTAAATCGGCCCGAAAAACGCCCCAGACCCCCAAACAACAGCCCAAAAAACCCAAAGTGCCCCAGTCGACCTAAAATCAGTGGCTCAACCAGAAGGAAGTACCAGAGCTACCTGGAGCTTTAAAAAATACCCAGGTCCTGGCCCCTGTTGAAAACTTCCCTAACAATGAGGCCTGGACTTAAATATTTTAAAAACCACCACAGGTAATTCTGGTATGTGTTCCTGGGTGTAACAGCCTGTGTTTTGAAGTAAAATCTATTTTTTACTTGCTCTTCTGTGTATTTGCTAATAGAAGGGGGGGAAATTACAGTGTTTCTCTGTGGTTGTGTTTTTGTATTATTAAAGTGTAACATTTGCTTCTGAGTATACTATTGACCTTGTAAGTCGCATGACTTTTATTTGAAAGCTTATGATTTATGTTTTCCTTATTAGCTTTAAACCACGTATCCACACAGGCTCTGTTCCACTAGTTTGTACAGGTTTGCTGCATGAGAAGCAGCCATGGAACTCATGAGAAGCACAGATTTCTTGGCCATTGTGCCAGTATAGCATACATAACAGTGAGGGAAATTATGTGGAGTCATTTATAAGGGTTCTGAATTGAACCCTGCCTATGAGAGGCAAGAAAATATTTATCTTCCATAAGCCTTCCCATCTTCCTCTAAATCACTCCTCACATACATAAATTTACTAATAATGCACAACTCTAGGATAGGAAACTTGGGAGAGTAGACTATTAATAAAAGTCGGCACAATTTTCAAATGTATTCTGGGGCAGTAAAGCACTCAGCTGCTAACCAAAAGGTCTGGGTTCAAACCCACCAGCCATTCGCGGGAGAAAAATAGCCTTGGAAATCCCATGGGGTCATTCTCCTCTGTCCTGTAGGGTCGCTATGAGTCAGAATCAACTCAACAGCAGTGGGTTTGGTTTCTGGTTTGGTATTCTGAGGCAGTAAGTGACTTTCTAGGTCCTCGATCTTTCACTGAATTTGAATTGGGGTACGCATCCCCAGAAATAGGTGACAGCTTCTCTGTAGTACAGGAATGTCCTCAACCTGCAAAAGGCCAAAGTGGGACACGTTTCCAAAGATGTATCATTCAGAAACAAGTGAAGAGAGCAGTAAGCCAAGTTTTGGATCTCCCTCCAACTGGAGGAGACTGCTTTTGCTTTTTAGTGCCACAACTTAAATTGTAACATTAATTTTTAAATTACAAAACCAAACCTGTCGCCATCGAGTCAGTTCTGACTCAGTGACCCTATAGGACAGGGTAGAACTGCCCCATAGAGTTTCCAAGGCGTTCCTGGTGGATTTGAACTGTCGACCTTTTGGTTAGCAGCTGTAGCTCTTAACCACTGCCACACGGGAAGCCTCTTAAAATTGCTGGTAATCCCACTTTCTTCAGACTTAAAAATGTGCATTTATAATGTGTTGTAAGAGTTTACATCTTAAAAGCTGGTTTTCCATGAAAGCTAAGTTCTATGGAAAGATGGTCAGATAGGCTTGCCTTCACTTATTTGTGACGAATGAAGATACACTCTACTGTTGTTGATAAATCTCATGTACATATGCTAATCTGTTCTCTAGATTATGTAATTTCCTGGGGATAGCTGTTCACCCTCTGGCCAAATAAAGAATTTGCAACACCATGCGATTCTTAGGCCTATAGCTTAGACCCTATCAAATATGACGTAGATGTTTACTCTCGTGTTCCACTGTGCACCTAATTTCACTACAGTAATTTCTCAATGTTCTCTATTGAAAAAAGCACATTCACTTAATTTTCTCTTGTGCAAGATGCTAATATTTTGACAAGGAAAGGCCATATTTGAAGACCTGGTGATAGTTCTGAATGTTAATAAAAAATGTCCAAGTTACGGTACTAGGTTTCCAAGGCTTAAGAAGTAGGGTGGTCATGCCTTTAGCTGCCCCGTAGGGCTGTGAGCCAATAATAGTCTACCCAGGGACCAAGGAGAGAACTGGACAGCTATGCTACAGTAAATTCGGCTCTTTTGTGGGTCAAAAGGTTTAGTATGTGGCTGATGTTTCACCAGAAGTCAATATGAGGTTTCTGGAACCTATCTTCCATACCACGGAGATTCAATGGACAAAAACAGATCTGAGGGAGAAACTTGAGTGTAAAATTTTGGTTTTGAAGAAAGCATTTGCATTTTAGTTGATTTGTTTTTCGGAAACTAACGAGCATCAAAAACTTAAAAATTATTTTTAAATGCCTTGAATGTATTTAAAGTGTAATAAAGATCATTGTATTTCCATTTTCTTGAGAGATTAAAATGAGGGTATAGAAAAATTGCTAAATGTCAAATTCACTGGACTAAAAACCTTTTCGCCACAGGTGCTTAAAGATCTAAACAGCAAAGAAATCTTTCGCCATCGAATATTTGAAAGCTCTTCCACACTCTTTACATTTTTTTTCTTTCTTAAATTGCTCCTGTTTCCCCTGCCTACAGTTAGTGTTAATTTTCACAGCGCCAAGATCCGAGTTAGCAATTTATGAACCACAAGGGGTCCTCATCAGTTGTTGGACCCTAAAGGAATTAATGCATAGGATGAAAGACTACAAATAAAATTTTGGCTGTGGTGAGCAGTATAATGGTCTTGGAGAGAGAAAATGGCATATCATTTAGGTAGCTATATTTTAACTCCAGATTCTAGGTTTCAGTTTAACACTGTCATGATCAATATTTCCTGTTTAATATAACTTAGTTTGGGGCATTTTCTATACTTGAAGTTACAGGAAATATCAGGGCATTTGTATAATTTTGACTTACCTAAAAAAGATGTCTCTTAGCTTCCCAAAAGATGTAAGCTGATATGTGAAATAGACAGCTTTTCCTTATTGGCTTCCCTGTTTCTCCAGTGTACTCAATCTTATAGTGACCAGGCTCAGAAATTTTTTCACACTCAGCCACCAGGTTTTCTCGGTTTTCCTTTCCAGTCATCCAGCCATCCACACGTGCTGTAACCATTAAGTTCCTACAAACTGCCAAGGGGTGAATAGGAATAAAGCCCTGGTGATCTACTTCCAAAAAAGCCACTGAAAACCCTATAGAGCACAGTTCTATTCTGACACACAGGGTTGCCATGAGTTGGAACTAAGGCATAAAACATGGCTTTGAGCTAAAGCCTTGGTCAAGTTAGCAGCCTCAACTTTGATGTAGGAGGCAGCACTTTGGCTGCAAGGAGGAAGGGCCAGGGGCTAGGAAACGTCTCTTGATGTCTGTTGCTACCCAGCTTTACTGTTTTTAACTTAGAATATATATGCTTTTTGGGAAAATTGCTGATGGAGATGATGCAAGGATACTAAAGGCTCAAAACCACCCGTCTCTTCTGAATGGAGAAAGGAACACTAGAAATGGAATAAAGTGTAACTAGCTGTACCCAGCAACACCTGGACCATTTAAGCAGAGCCTGAGTGTTAAACCAAACCAAAGACCAAACCCGTTGCCGTCCAGTTCATTCCAACTCATAGTGACCCTGATAGGACAGCAGAACCGCCCGCCCAAAGGGTTTCCAAGGAGCAGCTGATGGATTCAAACTGCTGACCTTTCGGTTAGCAGGTAAGCTCTTAACCACTGCACCACCAGGGCTCCAAGTGTTACTAAAGACAGTAACAAAACCAGCACTCCGCTTAAGCCATTCAGTTTCCCAAGACCAAGCCAAAAGCTTCTTGTACACTTACCTAGAAACGTTCTATATACAAAGTGTACTTTAAAAAATAGAAATTGCTGTCTACTCTGCACGCTATATGACTACTTGCTTTTTCTTAGCAATGTATCTTAAATGTCTTTCCATTATCAGCACTTAATAGACTTCTATTACCTGATTATATTACATTATCTTGTGGTATGAATTGCTGATGTACCAGAATTTAACTAGTCCCCTATTTATAGATACCTCACATCTTTCTGGTTCTTTGCTAGTGTGAACAATGCTGCATTGAATATATGTTAGAGCATAGCTATGGAAAAAGTGGAGTCGAAGGGTCAGCACATTTAACAATTTTGAAAGACAATGTTAAAATAGCTTTTTAAAAAGCCCGTATAGTGGTTTATGAGTATGTTTTCCATACATTTCCCCAACATCAATATTGTCAGGTTTTTGAATATCTAAATCGGTTAGATTTTAATCTGTGCATTTCCCTGGTAAGCGAAGTTGAATATCTTTTATTACATTTTTGGCTGTTTGAATTGTATCCTTTCCCACTTTTCTAGGACAATTGGTTGGTTGTCCTTATTAATACGTAAGAGGTTTTAGCTTTTTTGTTTCTTCTTTCCTCATGTCCTTACCTTTTTACTAGGTTTTGTTTTATTTACTTTTTTTAAATAACTTGTCAGGTAAAACTGTGAAGGACTTTGAAATGGGCTAGAGAGATTACTGAGTGTCCTTTCAATGGAATGTTGGGCTTCCTCTGGCAGGCCTTTTAGGGATTAGCCACTTCTTTGTCTTTGACTGGAGCCCTGGTGGCACAGTGGTTAAGTGCTACAGCTACTAACCAGAAGGTCTGCAGTCTGTATGCACTAGCCACTCCTTGGAAACCCTATGGTCCAGTTCTACTCTGTCCTATAGGTTTGCTGTGAGTCGGAATCGACTTGACAGCAACAGGTTTGGTTTTTCGGTTGTCTGACTAGGCTAGTTAGATGTTAAGTTGTAGTGATGCAAACATTTCCTTTCCACAGCTAAGCAAATGATTACTGTTCATGGCAATACACGTGAATTCTCTGTTACTTAGAGAACATACTGAGGAGCTCTGGTGCCGTGGGAGAAAGATGTGACAGCCTTGGAAACTGTGTGAGGCAGTTCTACTCTGTCCTATAGGGTCACTATGAGTTGGAATCAACTCAGTTGCAATGGGTTTGACTTTTGGTTTTACAGAATATATCAAACCAAACCAGTTGATGGCAACATGGTGACCCCCATGTGTGTCAGAGTAGAACTGCACTCCATAGTGCTTTCAGTGGCTGATTTTTCAGAAGTAGATAACTAGGCCTCTGGGTGGACTCGAACCACCAACCCTTCGATTAGCAGCTGAGCATTTAACTGTTTGCAGCACCCAGGAACTCCTTCAAAACCAAACCCACTGCTGTTGTGTCGATTTTGACTCATAGCGACCCCATAGGGTTTCCAAGGCTGTAAGTCTTTACAGAAGCAGACTGTCACATTTTTCTCCTGGGTTCAAATTGCTGACCTTTCAGTTAGCAGCTGAGCACTTTAACAACTCCACCACCAGGGCTCCTTGGATAATATAAAATCTGTAAATCAAATCCTCATTTGAACCGTTTTAACGACTGTCATGAATTGTGTCTCCCAAAAATATCTGTCAACTTGACTGGGTCATGATTCCCAGTATTGTACAATTATGTACTATTTTGTAATCCAATGTGATTTCCTTATGTGTTGTAAATTCAATCACTATGATCTAATAAGATGGATTAGCAGCAGTTACACTGATGAGCTATACAAGATTGGATAGTGTCTTAAGCCAATCTCTTTTGAGATATAAAAGAGAGGAGTGAGCAGAGACACATGGGAACCTCATACCATCAAGAAAGCAGTGCCAGGAGCAGAGCGCATCCTTTGGACTTGAGGTTCCTGTGCAGAGAAGCTCCCAGACCAAGGGAAGATTGATGACATGGACCTTCTTCCAGAGCCAACAGAGAAAGCGTTCCCCTGGAGGTGAGGCCCTGAATTTGGACTTGTAGCCCACTGGACTGTGAGAGAATAAACTTCTCTTTGTTAAAGCCATCCACTTGTGGTACTTCTGTTGGAGCAGCACTAGATGCCCGAGACAACGATTTACTGGTTCTCTCATTAATTAAAGTGTTAAATAAAACCTTTGACGTGTTCATTTTATATTTGTATGAGTCTTGATTTTACCTTCCCAAACATTATACTTTAACAAATGTCTGGTGTCTCTTGTCAAAGTTTTAAATTCTGGATGTAATCAGATTAATTTATCTTCCTGGCTTTGGTGTTCTATATTGTCGAGCATTTATTTTTGTATGTGGCGTTTTGATCTCACGTTTTTCTCTAATTGACAGCTGTGGACTCCAGAGCGGTCTGCATAGTCTAAGCTTTCCTCGGTGCGCTGACTGCTGTTGTGCACCACTGAGTTCATTCTGGCTCATAACGACCCTGATACAACAGAGTAGAACTGTTCTATAGGGTTGTCTAGGCGGTCATCTTTATGGAGGAAGATCACTAGGTCTTTTCTCCTGCAGAATCACTAGTAGATTTGAACAACCGACCTTTCGGTTAGTAGCCAAGCGCTTCACCATTGCACCACCAGGGGTCCTTTTTCAATGAATTGATATACCACCTTTTATCAAAATTTAATTCCCATGTATATGTAGGTCTGTTCCCTTGGTCAATTTTTTCTTTCTTGTGCCTTGGGAAAGGGGTGCTTTTCAAAGAGTAGCCTAGGTGGGACGATATGCTCAAAAATGGCAAGAACCGTGTGGCACTTGCTGTTCCACTGGGATGTGCTAAGCATAGGCAAAATGGTGTTCTAACCCCTGAGCATCTATTAGCAGCCAACAATAGCACATGTCCCTGCCCATCACAGTCAAGTGGTTCATGTTTTTTCTAGAAGAAGCTATGTACTAGGTGCTCAAGAAGCAGTGTTGCAGCTGGTCAGGCCCCGGCGAGGGCAGGAAGACCAGGTGATGCAGCTTCAAATCTCGTAGAGGATTTTTCTACAGCAGTCCTCAGTTGTGTCAAGCTATCCTATGGGGTCACTGCTGAAACTGCATGAACAAGCTACAAACTGTTGCTGTTAGCTGCCGTAGAGTCAGCCCCCACTGTCACACACAACGTAATGAAATGCTGCTGGTCCTTCCTGCGCCATCCCCGTGATCAGCTGCGGATCGTACTATTGTGATCATAGGGTTTTCACTGGCTGACTTTCAGCAGTAGATCACCAGGCCTTTCTTCCTAGTTTGTCTGGGTCTGGAACACCGCTAAAACCTGTTCAACATCACAGCAACACACAAACCTCCACTGACAGACAGGTGGTGGCTGCACATGAGGTGCGCTGGCTGGGAATCAAACCCAGGCCTCCTGCATGGAAGGCGAGAAATCTACCACCGAACCACACCAAGGCCTCTAAGCTACAAATTAGGCCTTTGTTATTATTTTGAAATGAAAGTTTGACTGGATTCTAAATCCAATGACATTATCACGGAAAATTTCAATAATACTTATTATCAATGAAATAAAAGTAAGAGCTATTAACTCTTTAAATATAATTAAAACTGTTGTAAAATTCTGAGCAGTTATTTTAGAAGTTTTAAAATATTTCATTACCACTCTTATCAACAAGATTTCTTGTTAATGGTAACTATCAAGAATTTGAAGAGGTCATGATTTAAGTTTTGATCAGGAACTGCATGTAGCCATTTCAAACATAAAACCTGAAATTAAAAGTTATGTTAAGAAGTAAAACTATTTCTAGTCACAGATGACATGATCTTATATATATATATAATCCTGAGGAATCCACAAAAACACTGAGATAACTATTAAACAAGTTCAGCAAGGTTGCAAGATACAAGATCAATGTACAAAAATCTGTTGTATTCCCACACACTAGCAATGAACAATCTAAAAATGAAATTAAAACAATTCCATATACAGTAACAGTAAAAGAATAAAATACCTTAAAAATAAATTTAACAAAGTAAGTGCAATGCTTGCACTGTGAAAACTAAAAAACATCATTGAAAGAAATTAAAGAAGACCTAAATAAATGGAAAGGCAGGCATTCTATGTAAACGGATAGGAAGATTTAAGATTTTGACGGTACTTAACTGAATTGATCTCCAGATTAAATGTAATCCTTATCAAAATATCAGTTGTCTTTTTTGCATAAAATAACAAAGCTAATCCTAAAATTCATATGGAAATGCACTTTCTTATATTTTCCAAAATTTTCCCAAGGAATTTGTATTTATAATAAAAAAAAAAAAAAAACGCAAACTAATTTTAAAAAACTGCTTTTATCAGTATCCCAGTGACTTCTTATAAGATTTCAGGAAATGAAAATACATTCCCAAAAGGAGAGACCTCCTACACCTCCTGGGCCAAGGAGCTGGGAGCTGGCCATGTGGGTGCGTAGTTGTTTTGCCAATTTCTCAAACAGGCAATTCGTTGGCATGACTTAACAACAACTATAAATGTTTTGGAAACCCTAATGGCACAGTGGTTAAGAGATAACAGCTGCTAACCAAAAGATCAGCAGTTCGAATCCACCAGGCGCTCCTTGGAAACGCTATGGAGCAGTTCTACTCCCTCCTATAGTGTCATTGGCTTTTCCATCATTGAAATGAGGATACATCCTCAAGATATTTTTGAAGTGTCTTGCACATCTGAGGCTGAAGTCGGTAACAAAATAATATGTAAAACCTCATCCTCCAAAAAGGACAATCTTTTACCTTATGTGTAGGGCTTTTCTTTTCCCTTTTATTTTATCATCAATATTTTTTGAAGGTTTTGTTAATGAAATTTCTTTTCCAATGACAAAGGAAAAGTTCTGTCTATCACTATATCTCCTTAATCATCAGCAATTATCTGTAATCACCCCAAACTGCAACCTATATATCCATCAGTGGGTGAACGGGTATACAAACTGTTATATACTCATACAATGAACACTCCTCAAACATACAAATGAACAAACTATTGATATTCAAAACAACATGGATGAGTCTCAAAATAATTATGCTGGATGAAAGAGCCAAACACAGAAGAGTACACACTGGATGATACTATTTATATAAAATGCAAAGTAGTCGATAGTGGCAGAAAGCAGATCTTTCTGGGGAAAGGCGAGAGGCATGGATTAGATAGAAGCACAAGGAACCTTGCGGGGGTGACAGACATGTCTGTGATCTTGCGCTGATGCTTTCATGGTTATATACATATGTCAAAACACAGAATTGTACACTTAAAATATGTTTGGATTTTGTAACTCTTTTATACTTCTATGAAGCTGTGAATAAAGAAGTATAGCGTGAGTTAATTAAATCAGTGTTTCCTCAGTCTTTGCTGACATTAAGAATCCTCTGGGATGCCTGTGGAAAGTGCACACAGCTGGTTCTGTAGCCAGATCTCCATGAAAGAGCTTGGTGAAGAGTGTTTCAATAAGCCACCAGTACCACCAGTTGCCTCTGAATCAACTCCAACTCATGGCGACTCCATGTGTGTCAGAGTAGAACCGTGCTCCATAGGGTTTTTGTTGGCTGATCTTTCGGAAGTAGATCACCAGGCCTTTCTTCCAAGGATCTTCTGAGTGAACTCAAACCTCAAGCCTTTTGGTTAGGCGCCAAGTGCATTAACCGTTTGCACCACCCAGGGACTCTTTTCAGTAAGGAACTAGGGATTCTCCTGCTCAGGGGTGGTTGGGAAACAGTGGTATGAAGTGTTTGCTGGCTGAGAAGGAGCCTTCCATCATCTGGACCAGACCGTCATGAGGTGGAACCAAATGCAGGGCCACCCATCAACAGGTAGGCTAAAACAATCTATGATTTCCTGTTTTTTTATACAAGTACATGATGTCTACTACTGTACAGTATAACAAGGGTTCGTCTGTAGTTGCTCTTTAAGGAATTTCTCAAACCATCATCATCTAGGTCCTTATATTATCAGGTTACTCAGGAGGAAGCTAAGGTATTGAATGAAAATGGCTCTCCAGGAGAATCCATGTTATTGCAATTATCCAACCATAGAAGATTCTAACTCCTATAAAAGAAACAGAAATAGTTGTGTTTGGCATTTCATCTTGAAAGGTGTTTGGCTGGTATGGTTGTTAGAGAGCTGAATATTGAATATATCATGGACTGCCAGAAGAACAAACAAATCTGTCTTGGAAGAAGTACAGCCAGAATACTCCTTAGAAGCAAAGATGGCAAGATTTTGTCTCAT